TAAATAAATAAATAAAATTAAAAAACTAGAAATTATAATTCTAGTAAGAAAACATTTGGATCTTTAGTTTCCATTGTTTTTTTGATGGAACACCTACTTGTATCCAATCTTTAAGATAGATGCTTTACACTTTTTGGGCCGCATATGTAGTCATGCGGTCTAGCCTGCATGAAACAATTTTCCAACATAAATATATACTAAATATAAATTATGGGAAATAATTTTTTAATTTTAATAATAAAATAATATTTTCTCGTAAATCTCCGTTTTCAATTTTGCTTGTAGGGCATGTTTGATTATATGAAAATATTTTTGTAAAGGTATTTTTATATAAAAAGCTCCCTTGTTAACTACTTGTGAGACTTTTTTCACACAAATTGGTCCTAGTGCCTTTTTAGCCAATTGATATAAAAAACTCCTGCCTTTTTAACACTAATAACAGCCAATTGATATAAAAACTACTGCATTGGATCTGATTTTTTCATGTGAAAATATTTTTATAAACAAAAGTATTTTTGTGCGTACTAAAAGTAAAATCAAGGGTTCAAATATTTTTCCAAAAAGATATCACTTCTAGTTTTTGTAATTTATTTATTTTTACAGAATAATAATCTCCACGTCAAAGATTATGTATTCCTTAAAAATTAGATTCAAATTTTATTTCAAAAATAAATAATTAAGGGGCCGCATTTCTACGTGTGAATCTGTGGCCTTCATGCTAGCCGCGTCCTTTGAGAAAGGGAGATTATTACTCCAAAACTGTGATTAAAAAATCTAAAAATGAGATTTAAGAATCGAAAATTGTTTCATGTGGAAGTCCAAAAGTATAAAGCATCTATCTTTAAAGGAAAAAGTTTATATAACGATGCAACCTTATAATGTAGAACTACGGATGCACCTCAAAAATCTATCGAAAAAAGTAGTTTTAATGTTGAAAAACCATCTCGACATCGAAATGTATGACCATGAAAAATAAAAAGATTTGAAGTCTTAGAAATAGAGTATTTTACAAGATATTATCTATACCATCTATTTTCAAGATTTTCATATATTTACAGATCTACTTGATTTTAACCATTTTTAAAATTTAAAATTTTATAATTAGATATAAAAATAGATTTTGAGATAATCTTAATAACATTTTACATCAAAATTATATATCATGATAAAATTTGAAAGTGCACCTTACCTCTACAGCTATGGATGCATCAGTATGCCAACTGCACCCATCTTTAAATATTTGGTCCATCTAAAAACATTTAAAATTAACGGCCCAAACAATTTTTTAATAGAATTATTATTTTCAATTTTTAAAATTTATTTATTCTTTCATATCCATGATCTCCATGTTAGGGATTTCGAAACCTTGAAAAATTAATCCAAATATCCATCTCCAAAATAGATTTATTAAGGGCCCGTATTTCTACATATACGGGCTTGGCCCGCATGCTAACCGCGTCCTTTAGGAATTAGGATTCTCACTACTTGATTTAGGGTTTAGGAAATGGGGTTCTTTGTACTTGATCGTCTCTCTCCCCTTCATGAGCAAAAAAGCCGGGGCTTTTTTCTCTGTTATTCCCATTTTTTTCCTCTTTAGCTTGCCCCAAAAATTCTCTGATTAATTAAGAATTGTGAAAAGATGTTGGATTTAAATCTTTTCAGAGAAGACAAGGGCAATAATCCAGAGAGAATCCGTGAGTCTCAGAGGCGCAGATATGCAAAGGTCGAGGTAGTGGACGAGATTATTCATCTTGACAAGGAATGGAGACAACGTAAGTATTATTTCCCTTTGTTCTTATAACTTTGTTTTAAATAGAATTTCTGCTTTATTGGGGCAATTGTTTCATTTGCATTGATAAGATTCTGAATTTGGGAAAATTAACAGTATTTGGGGTTTGATTTTGGTTTTTAGGGCAATTCGAGCTGGATAACTTGCGTAAGGAGTTCAATAAAATCAACAAGGAAGTATCTCTGTTGAAAAGAGTGAGTTTTAAAGCAAAAAATCAGTTATTTTGCATATCTAGAGGGACCGATATTTTCCTTTTTTACTTTCAACTTCTTTGTTTTTATTAATGTGAGTTGGGTTTTCCTTTTTGTGTGAATCCGAGCAGACAAACAAAGATGCTTCTGAGTTGATAAAAAGTACGGAGGAAAACAAGCAGTTGACTGCAAAGAAAGAAGCCGAAGTTCAGGAAGCAAAGGATGCATTGTACTCGAGACTTGAAACAGTGGGAAATCTTGTTCATGATTCGGTTCCAATCAGTAATGATGAGGTCCGTATTTATATTTTCATTATTAGTGCTGTGAATATTTTTGTTATTATTATTGTTATTGTCATTATCATTCGTAGTATTGTTATTGTTATTATCATTCTTAGTACTACAAGTGGGCTTTTTCTTTTTTCCTATCGTTCTACAGTTGTTGTTTTTGTTGACAAAGCAGAATTCTTGTTATTTTTGTGGTCCTGTTTGGGTTAAATATGCATGATAATTGTGCTTCTCTAGCAGAAGATCAGTGAAAAGATGAATCCCTAAAATGAAACTACTTTAAATATACCCATCGAATTTCCTCACCCGTATATAATGCCAAAGCTGAAGATGAAATTCAAGATTATGATGCAAAGTACATTGGAAGAAATAGAGAAAATTGCCTTCCATCTTGGCTTTTTTATTATTATCTTTTGGGCATTGAAGCTCCTTGTATGTCAAGGCTCGTTGTAGGTTACATGTTTCTATAGAGAACTTTGTAGTAATAGATACCCTTAACATAGTATTGGATACTCTTAACCAGTGTATACATTTATGCCAATGATGTTATATTGCCACTATTGCACGAGTCCATCAAGTTCCCTCTCTTTTTGAAGGACATCAGTACCTTCTTACTGTCTATGTGTCTCAGTAGTGGCTTTTGAATACCAGTATCTTAGTGATCTATCTAAACGGATTCTTACTGGGGGTTCAAGGGTGAAATAGATAAATTGTTATTTCCTTCTATTTGCAGGAGAACAATGCCATTGTTCGAACTTGGGGAGATAAAAGAATGGAAGGGAATTTGAAGAATCATGTTGAGCTTGTTCAACTTCTTGGAATAGCAGATCTAGCAAAAGGTAATTTTTGAAGATTTTAGGTTGGTCAATATTAATTAAGTTTATTCAGTTCTAAGTCTTTACAATCATCCAAACATATATTGGACTTCCTATACTGTATGTTGCATGTACAGTTATATATATGCCATGGTACTTGGGGTTGTTCAGCTGAGAAAGCTCTTAAAAGTAATTTGTCCATAAAATCATCATCATCATCATCCAAGCCTTATCTCAATTGTTTCAGGTCCTCACCCTTATTGGACCAACTTATCCATAAAACAAATTTCTGTATAAGAAAATACCCCCAAAAGTGCAAAACATTTAAATCATAGATGTAAATTTTTTTTTAAAGTGTCGGGATAATAAAATCCCATTTGGTACTGAATCCAGTGAAATTCACTGGGTTTGTTGGTCAACATGTCTGGCATGAGGCAAAAAATGTCGCGTTTTTCACTTCCTGCAACAAAAGTTTACTGGGTTGGTATATTGTATGATTGTTGGTGGCACTTAAAATATAATGTTTATGTTTTTTGTTAAATTTCTATCATTTCTTAGTATTGAACATTGCTTCTTTTTTCATGTTTGATGCATGACATTTTGCGAGTTGGCTTTGTTGTTGTTCTTTATTTTTATTTTTTTTTAAATACTGCTTTTGTTGTTGCATGTACAAGAAGCACAATATGTGGTGGGGCTTCTTTGTTATGAGGGTTTTGTCAACTAACTCTACATTTTGTGGGAAACATGTTTAATTTATAGTATAATCTGATCAAGTTAACTGTAGAAGCGAAGTTTTTTTGGGTTAGTTTGTGAGATGTAAACAATTCATTCTTTTTGTGATCCAGTAAATTTTCATTCTTTAATATATTTTTCGTAAATAAACAAAAGAGAACCTCAAATTCCTTAAAGAATGTTTGGGGCCAACCTCTTGTGAGGAGATTTCTTTTGTAGGAACTGATGGATATGTTGAGATTTGTAGGTTGTTGAAGTCTTTTACTTCTGATAGGACATAATTTTGGTGGGGAGCACAGCTTAGAACGATCCATGAAGTCAGTTACGAACTTTTTCCATTATCATACAATTGCAAGTTAGGAAATTATAAAAAAAGATTTCTTTGTACTTTGTGGTTTCAACTGCTTGTTATGATTTACCACAAACCACAGGTATACCCATGATTTTTCTGTGCACAGTATGCTTAGATGGACATTTTGATTCTTCTACTGTTTAGGCCATGAGCCATTGGGGATCAATAGATTCAAGAAAGTATATGTCCATAGAGAGTGGTGGTCATTTTTTTTCTTTTTCTAAATAGTTTTTGTAAGGCAAGGTTGTGTGGACTAATAAAAGTGAGAAATGGCAGGGGTGTCTACGAGAGAAGGCAGAGATTCTTGATGCCTGATAAGTTCACCAGAAATGTCGAAAGTATTGAAAACAAAATTTAAAGAAACATATGATTGGCGGAAATTTTACTATTTATGCATCGGGTTGTATTTTGCACAATAGCATATCTCAGCCCATTATTAAAGACTGAGTACTGTGTTCAAAACCGCATTTCACAAGTCAAGTTTATGAGTACTCATTTTGTGACTTTGGTGGAGTTCTTTGTTTGATCAGTAGCAAATTTAGACTATTTAGTAAATAAGAACAGAAAGTTACAACCGGAAGTGTGGCCAAGGAGATGTCAGGTAATATCACGTTATCTATTCATCATCCCTTCTGCACTCAAAAGTCACCACAAAGTAACCTCTGTTAACAGGTAATTCTGCAATGCCTTCTCTAAAAACATGGCTGAAGGAATACGGATAGAGCACAAAGTGAATTCTCATCAAAGAAAACTGCAAGAAACCAAAGAACTAGGGTCTCTAGCCTCACTCATCTAATAACATCAAGGTAGCCTCCCTTTGTTTTGGTCGAGAATATTGTTATCTTTATATGGAAACTTTTTAATATATGAGCTCTCTAGAATCTAGATTGTACCACTTTTGGGTTGTCCTTGATTGATTCACATTGTGTACTCATTTATGTGTGCTTGAGCTGCCTATATCTCATCCTGTTTCACTATTTCGATGGCATTGTAAAGCATTTGGCCAATCAATCACCCTGTCAGTTGTATTCATGCATTTAACTAAGGGCTACATTGGAGTGTGATCCAATTTGTATAAATTCCTATGTTTGTCCTTTTATATCTAAATATGCCGTCCTATCTATTTGTAGGAGCTGATGTAGCTGGAGGGAGAGGCTATTACCTAAAGGGTGCTGGTGTCCTCTTGAATCAGGCTCTGATAAACTTTGGTCTCGCGTTTCTAATTAACCGTAACTATGAAGCGCTGCAGACTCCATTCTTTATGAGGAAGGACATCATGGCAAAATGTGCCCAACTTGCACAATTTGATGAAGAACTTTACAAGGTAAAATTCACTAACTTTTTTTTTTGGTTTTCTGACCTTCAAGTGCATAAAGAGTTCGGGAGATCTTGAGCTATGGTAAAATGCTCATTGGTTGTTTTCTTTTTTCTTTTAGGGGTTGGGGTTGGGGTTGGGGTTGGGGGGTGGGGGAAGTCTTACTACTGAACTGTTTGAATAGAAAGAATCTATTAAGGGGAACACCTAAAAGATGAACTGTATAACATTTCACCTATTCATCAAAGCACACCTAAAAAACCAACTATTCGATTTCTTGATTGTGTCATTTGGTGGGGACCTTTTGAAATGAAAATCAAAAGAAATGGGAGGGATGTCAAAAGCTCAATCCATGGGTGCATTTTCGGTTTTTGTAAATTTCCTCTTTATTATTGATAACAACTGGGTGATATTTATAATGAATCAAGAACTCAGCCGTTCATTTTGTTAGTCCATTTATTGATGTGTTAGTTTCAAAAAATTTCCTTCATTGGACAAATATCAATATCTAATCAACAGTCTTTTAAAACCTGGCAATTCTGATTGGAAATCGCCAATCCGAATTGGGAATCGGCTGGGATCAAACTACATCCTGGAAGGTATCTATCCCAGCACGGACCGTTCCCCACCCCCACCAAAAACCGCCTTTTTCATATTTTTTAAGCTTACTTGATATTATCTTAGACCGCTCCTAAATCCCCACCCCATAATCCCCTATCTTAATTTTTTTTGGTTTTTTAAATATATTCTGGATTGCTGATTCAGGCTGATATAGATTGGCGATCTTCCGATCTGACACGGACCTGTGGGTTAGATGATCCACCTCACTGATCTGGGTTTTGAGACACTGCTAATCAATGAACTGTTTTAATGAATTTATTCTCAAAAGAAAAGAACTATTTTAATGAACGCTTAAAAACATGCTACTTTCCAAAAACAGTTTCCGAGATTTTATCAAACAAAAGAAACTGATTTCTCAAGGAATTCCAGACAGGTTTAGCAAAAAGGAAAAATATTTTCCTGGAGAGTATTTTTCTTGGGAAATCAAATTCTTTGGAAAATATTTCTCAGGGGAAATATTTTTCCTGATCCTTAATGCCTTCTAATCATACTGTTCCATTGACCTGCTTGGTATGAAATTTTGTATGAAATATTACGATCTTCCTCACTTTTGCACAGGTAACAGGTGAGGGAGACGACAAGTATTTGATTGCTACTGCAGAACAACCGCTGTGTGCATATCATCTTGGTGAATGGATTCATCCTTCACAACTACCCATAAGGTTTATTCTTGGCCTTCTGCCTCTTATGTAGAACTCGTGTGGGTGTGTGCACGTGCGTGCTTGTGCGCGCACGTGCGTATGTTATCAGATTTCCCAAACTTTATAAAATAAGATTTGTGGTTGGCTAGTAAGTTGTGTCGAAAGCATGCAGGTTTGCAGGATACTCGACTTGCTTTCGTAAAGAAGCAGGTTCTCATGGTCGAGATACTTTGGGTATCTTTAGGGTCCATCAATTTGAGAAGGTGGAGCAGTTCTGCATCACCAGGCCTAATGGGAACGACTCTTGGGATATGCATGAGGAAATGCTAAAGAATTCAGAGGATTTCTACAAGGAGGTCTTCTTTCTTTGTCCAAAATATCCTTTGTTTGAGTCGCATCATTATGGTTAATGTAAATTAGTGCAAAACTATAAAAAGCTGTATATTATTGCATGAAAATGGTGTCAGTTTATTTATATGAACTGCAGCTGAAGATTCCGTATCAAGTGGTGTCTATTGTTTCGGGTGCATTGAATGATGCAGCTGCCAAAAAGTATGATTTGGAAGGATGGTTTCCAGCTTCTAAGACCTACAGAGAGCTCGTGTCTTGTTCAAATTGTACTGATTACCAGTCGAGGGCGTTGGAAATCCGCTATGGCCAGAAAAAGGTGAGTTACTCAAACGCACACAGGGGGTGGAGAGAGAGAGAGAGAGAGTGTTTTGTTACTACATGAGAATAGTAGTTGTTACAATGTACGGTTTCAGCAGAGCTCATCCTGAATCCTTTCTGCTGGTCCTGAACTCTAAAAGTGTTATAATTTGTCATTGAAGAACATTAGTGACCAGTGTCTGTTTATGCTATGGTTTTGCAGTGTATGGTTATATCTCTTTTTCTCAAGAGAAAAGTATTTTGCAGTGAGTGTGGTCATATCTCTTTTTCTTAAGAGAAAAATATGGTAATGTCTCTCGATTTATGGGATTTTATTGGGTTTTTTCTTTCAGAGTAACGAACAAGTGAAACAATATGTTCATCTGTTGAACTCTACCCTCACAGCAACGGAAAGGACCGTGTGCTGTATCCTTGAGAATTATCAGAAGGAAGATGGTGTGGAGATCCCAGAAGCGTTACGTCCGTTCATGGGTGGTATCAGCTTTCTTCCTTTTCAAAACAAACTAACCACTGAGGCAAAGGGCAAGAAGTCAAAGCCCAAGGTCTCTCTCTCTTTCTCTGACACAAAGCCCAAGGTCTCTCTCTCTTTCTCTGACACCCCCCCCCCCCCCCCGCCCCCCCCCAGCCCTTTCCTCTTTAACAAAGTATTAGGATTTACGTTCACATTTTGGGTGGGATTTGCCTTTCAAGAATTTGTCTTGTGCATGGTTTTCTGTTTAGTTTTTGCTTCCAGCTTTTTATTTTTAAGGGAAATTAACAGAAGAATCTCTTTTTCTTTTTTTCTTTTTTTTTAATTTTTTTTTTCAAAGTTTAAAATAGTCATAAGAAGTCTTGAGCCCAAGCCTGATTCCTGTTGTGAATATTGTTTTTTTTTTCTTCTTTTTTCTATAGATCCGATTAAGTTCACATTTTAGAGATCCATACTTCTCACCATAATGGATTTGTAAACAATATTAAAAATAATAATTAATTTAAAAAACAACATTAAAAATATAATTAAGTTATATAAAATCATCAAATTACCCTTATAAAATTTAAATTTAGGGAAATTTTAGATATTTTATTTATTTTAAAAGATTTTTTTGGCATTTTTTCTCAATGTGAGATGTTGGGAAGTATCAAATCCCCAAATTTGAACTTAATCCAATGCATATCAAAGGAAATAAAATTAAAATACAATGTGCACTTTCAAAAGAGAGCATAAAATATGAATGAAGTAAATAGGGCTTTTTTTAATCATCATCATCATAGCTTTTTTCCAATTAGTAGGGGTCGGCTAGGACTATTTTTAACATTGATAACATAATAGAATTATTTTTAATCTTTGATAACAAATAAGATGTTTTTTTTTTTAGTAAATTTCAGTTTGTCCACTAATATTTCTACAGGCTTATTTCTACTCTGTATCATATTTTACCATTCATGCTAAAAAATGGTTTGCCAGAGAGCAGCGTTGTCAAAAGTCATAACAATCTTCAGCATAATGACAAAGTGGCATTGTTAAAACAATCACTGGTATAACTACGCTAACCGCACTATGAGCTCCCTACCAAGTCCGCTCTCTCCCTCTCTCTCTCTATATCCGTATGTTGATGGCATCTTGCCCTGAACAGGTGAATCCTGATAGGGATGGAGCAAGCAAAAATGGCGACATTCCGGAAATGAATGATCTCAAAGTTACGAAATGAAGAAATTCCCTTCTCTATTATGTAAGTTAAGGAACATTTCTATCATTCCCGATAAAGAGAAATTAAACATTTTTGTAAGTGAAACACGTTATTCTTGCCTCTGCTTTCTTTTTCAATGGCTTCAAATTAGTCATGCTTAGCATTCCATCCTTTCTTGCCATGAGCTGAGAAGACGCATTAAGTGCAACTAGTTGGACTCTTGTGAGCAGCTGGATGGTCAATTTTTGAAAGTGACGCTTTTATTTTGCATCACAAAAATATGTTATGTTAACCCAAAGGGAAATCAGGGCCCTTTTATGGTTTTAACTTTTTGAAAGCTTAGATGAATTTCTCCTTTCTCTTTTTGTAGTTCAGGTGAGGTAGAATTCTAATCTTTGATGGTATATATAGCCACCAGACCTGGATCTCGACTACTTACCAAACCAAACCGTGTTTGGACATATGTCATGTAACATGGACCTGCGTGTTGATGGTTTTTTGTGCGTATCATGACTTCAAAGATGTGATATCCATGTGTGGTGTTTTAGAAACATATCTCATGTATCAGGGATTGCATGTCTATGGTCTTTACAGCGTATCAGGACTTCAACGATGTGATATTCAGGCATGGTACTTTAGAAATAGTTACATTTCATAATGTGTTCTCATGAAATTTCACAATATAAACATCGAGTGGCACCTAAAATTTCAGCTTTTGGAATTTTGAAATGGTGTATAGGCATATTGTGTTGGGAAGGCTAATTTTGATATCTGCATTTATGCCACTCGTATTGGTATTGTTGTAAATGTGTTAATATAACACAAGAAATATCCAATAAGTTGCTTAGTTACTGTGGCGCATTAGAATGTTGAGGGTTTAAAACGATTGGGAAGTTTATTTTCGCTTAAAGCTTGGCTTGAAAATTTTTAATGACCGGATCTATTTCATTGGGAGTCGACTGTCATTTCTCAAATATTCCTTTCGACTTGGATGAGTTCATTGGGAGTCGAGTGTCAATTTTTAGGTTTTTAGGGGAACAGCTGAATTTGGATCAAGCAGGTAGAGTTTGCACATTACTATTTTATTTATTATCATCACACCCTGGCTTTCTATTTTTGGTAGTTATCACCCAATGTTTTTAAATCTTTTATTGTTAATTCTTATGAATTTGGACAAAAATTATCTTTGATGATGATCATAAAAGTATGAGGGGGAGAGTGATTGCATATACGCTCCGACATGGAACAACGATGGAAACAAGAGTGAGAACGGCAAAAGGTGCATATATATATATATATATATATATGGAAAATTTTTTCCAATACCTATAGAGGAAAATGAATAGTAATTTTTGTCTACTTTTATCACTGTTCAAATTTTATTGTGCGGTCATGATTATTCGGTAGTATTTTATTTTTCATTTTTTTTTTATAAATCGAAATGATTTGAAATTTGGAGGGGTATATACATTTTATTGAGGTACATTTAATAAAAATATAAAAAAAAATTATTCGTGAAAAATAAATTGACCAAAATACTTAGGAAATTTTTTGGGGGTATTTTGGTCAATTTTTTTCATGTAAGTTTTTTTTTATATAATTTTTGAAAATTCCCTTATTTTTGATGAATACACTTTTCAAATTTCAGGTTGTTCCGATTAGTGAAAAAAAAAAAATGAAATACTATAGGACAATCGTGATCACGCGATGAACTTTGGACAGCGATGTGAGTAAGCGAAATCACTGTTCATTGTTAATTTTCACCTATAGGCGTTGCATAGTATT